TATATATATATATATATATATATATATATATATATATATATATATATATATGCGCGCGAATATGTATATATATATTTATATATATATATATATATGTATTATATATTAATATATGTACACGAGAAATCATTCATTATTAGACGTATTCATTTCGCGTTCGATTTTTAGTTTGCTTGCCTTTGTTCCGCGCTCAGAGAGTGGACGCTTCAACAGATGTGTTTGGAGGTAGCGAAGCTGCCTTCGAGAACGTCGTTTCCAGCATCGATATTGGCTCGGTCTTCTCTGTAAGAGAACAGCCGTTCGTTCAATCGCGCATGATGCATGTCGCTCGATAACGATACTTTGAGTTGTCGAATTTTTAGGTTTCCTGGTCGCGAGAGGAATGTCCCACGTTCGTCTCAATGACGCGAATAATTTTTATATGTGTGTAGATACAATTTAACAATAATTATTTACTCTCCTTTCCGCAATCTAGCAAGTAGTTCAGAAATAAAATCTGACCAATCGCCCGTTCGGGCTTGCGAGCGACAATTCGTCGCAGGAGAGCGACGAGAGTTATTCTTCTATGTTAAGCGACATTGTCGCTATTTGCGTCTCGGCAACAGCTGTCGTGTTTGTCCACGAATATTCGCGACTGACAAAGACGCTCAGTGTATTAAAATATACTCTGTAGAAAGACGTAGAGAGATGGGAGAGCGGCGGGAACGTTCTCGAACGTAGCTCGGAGGAGAGGACTCGGCAGAGACGCGCTCCATTCAAATCTTGACCACTCTCTATCCTAAAATATGTTTGTTCGTGATCTCTTTCTCTCTCGTCACTCGCACACATACGCACACTCGTCACGACGCACACACATACACACACGCACATGCGGGCACATCAAGCGCGCTCACACAATCCGCACCAGACAATCCGGAAATGGATATATTTGTTCGACTACACGGTAGCCACAGCGCTCGACCAATGGAACGAGAGAGACACTTTAATCTCCCTGCTCATTTTTTTGCTTATATCGTTCCTTATGACGTGCTGCTTCGTGGTATTCCCGAAGGTCTTTGTTCTGTTTACCTCCGACGACCTCGAAGTTGACGAATTAATATCGAACAGCTGAGTTCACCGACGGGTTAAGAGAAAGATCGACACACACACCGATCCTCTCACCCCATTGGACGATCGTTAAAAACTAGGAGGATTCTAAACGAGGAGAGGAAAGTAGTAGACTCTCGACCGCGACTCCTTCCGCGTCTCTTACTCCCTTTTTTACTTCTCTCTTATTCTCTACTCACCGGATCCGCGCGAGGCAAACTCGCATCTCTTTAATTCCTTTTCCTGATAAATCTTCATTGGTTTCGGAGGTCATTCTCCGAAACAAAGAGGTGACGAATTTCTCTCTCTCTCTCTCTCTTTCTTTCTCTTGTCGCGCCAACAGGACGTGAGTGGGAGTAGGACGAGGAGGAGGAGGAGCAGGAGGGGGAGCAGGGAGAGGGTCAGCAATTTCGCACAACTTGGAGATGGACAAGCGGGGGTTGTGGGACGCGAGAGGCTTTCCAGGGATAAGCGTGCAAGATATCGAGGCACGTGTCCTCCATTCGTCTTTTTCCTCACATTTCCCATTTTCTCTCTTACACCTCCTTTCCATTCTCGTCTTCATCGTTGGACTTCGTTCTTTCGATCAGCTATCACGAGTCTAGATACAGATGCGCAACGCAGCGCGATTCGTAGCGACACTGCTTCCTCCTCGTTCTACCCTCCGACGGGGGAACAATGGGCCGAACGAGTCGAGGATTACTAAGAGCCGGTCGCGCCGGACATCAATTGACGCTAACTCTGCCTAATTCGACTTTTTTTCTCCTCTGTCTGTATTATAGAGGTATAATTATAGACTATAATAAGTAGGTAATTATAGGCTATATTATAGACTATAATCGAGACAGCGAAAACGTCTAAACCCAGCGGACTACCTTCACGAGAGCAGAGCGATCGACGCCGATGTCCCGGGCTCGGCGAACGCAGTGGAGCCAATCCGGCGACTCTTCGACTTCGAGCGATGATGCGTTCGCTCCTCGGAGGATAATGAGTGAAGGGGATCAAACGAGCGGGATGATCCTCGCTCGTATATTATTCGCCGATCTTCGCAGCAGCATATTATCGATCCGATCTCCACGGCCGGAGGGGCCATTTTCGCGGTAAATCTATTTCGCGAGCAGAGCACGTGAGAGGCGAGAGAGGCATTCGACATCGTACTTGTGGAAAATGCAATTTAACAATTCGCGCCGGTGCCCACTTGATATTCGCGCTCGACGAGCGCGCAACAACAGCGGTCGCTCTGCTCTCAGCTGAATTCCGTTTTGGCATTTGGCCGCGATCAAAAGGCGCGCGATCGAAACCAACGACGACCATAATACGTCCTACAGCGATATTATCGATAACAATAATAATAATACAATAACATAATAATAATAATAATAGTCACTAACGTACACACTATATGTATACTCCTGTACAAAGTTTAATTGCACAATGCATCTGATTTCCCGCGAACGGAGTACATCTAATTTAATGATAATAATAGTCGTAAGCGCTTGCTCCTCAAGGCAGCTCCGCGAGAGAGTGATACCTGGCAGTAAAGGAAAACAGTTTCGTCGATCGAGCAGTCGACCGATTGTCGTGGACACTGAATGGGCTGTTTCCATTTTCTCGCGATGTACGTGTGTGTGTATGTGTGTGTGTATGTGCGTGTGTGTGTGTATTTGTTACACGAAGAGCTTAACGAGCTACGCAATAATTGTCAGTGAGTCACAAGCAATGAATACTCATTCTTTATTTGCCTTCTCGCGCGCGCGCGGTCGCGCCAAAATCGTGAATATGGAATTATCGTAAATCACATTTCTCGGACGTCAGCCGAATCTCTTAATCGTTAAAAACGAGGATACCTCGAAAAATGATTTTCTTTCTTGCTCTCTCTCTTCTTTCTCTTTTCTTCTCTCTCTCCCTCTCTCTCTACTTGTTCTTTCCTCTCGCGGTAACTCTTCGCCGTGACTTTATTTCCGTGTCGCGCGCGGGCGTCAACATATAAAAATATTAATACTAAAACATTTTCTTTTTTTTCCGTTCTTTAAAACTAAACTCAACTCACTTAGTCGACGGTTATGTACGAGATATCGCTTTTACATTTGTGATGTATACCTCCCCTGCTTCGATCTTCGAATACTTCGTTATTCGAGGCTCGAGTATTTTCCCCCTTTTCCCTGTTATTATTCCCGTGACACACCAACGGGACATATCACACGCGTTTACGATGGCTCGAAACTTCAGAGGCGTATTATATCTCTTGTTTCTTTTTTTTTCATTTCTTTTTTACGTATACGACGATGCCAGGTGACACTGATGAGCTAGCTTGATTGCAAAATGGTGTTTACACGTCTAAAGGGTATGTTCACACGCGCGCTCGCGCGCAGTGTCCATTGGAATTACAAAGCTGGGTTGGGGAGTCGCGGAAGGTCGTGCCCCTGAAGCTCTACGTTCTCCCGCGGTCGGTACGCGCGCGCGGTTATCGCGCTGAAAGTATCCTCCCGATCGCTGAAACCCGCACTCGCGCGCGGCGTGGCGCCGACGATCATGCGCCACCACGTCGCGCATTCGCTTCGAAAGGTATCGTAGAAAAACGCGAACGGAAGGAACGGAAAAGGTAAAAAAAAGAAGAAACACGAAGTAACAACGCAGACAATTCATAAAGACGAAATGTCGATTATGAACGAGACACGATCCGTCGGATCAGAATGATAGCTTCTGATCGCACACACGGCGGACACACACCGAGCGGACACTGAGCGCGTTTCTATAAAAAAGTCTTACCTACTAATGTACAGCGTGATTTTGATTTTCGCAGCGGCAAGCTTCCGAGAGGTAAACCCGCGGCAGAGAGGAGCCGTGTGGTTCGCGGCTTCAAACGACAGATACTCGACGCGGAAAGACAATCTCTCTCTCTCTCTCGCGCGCGCGCGCGCGCGCTGTATAGTATATTGGTTAATTTATTGGAGAATTTATGTCGCGAGAGACTATCTCCGGGACAATTTAAAGAACGTCCTCCTTGTTATACACACGCGCGCGCGCGTACGTACTACAAACGTCCCGACGAATCGTTCCGTCGACGTGCTGAGGATGGTGCCGGTGGTGAAAACGGTGTCGGGGGGGTGTCGGAGAAAGCGCGAAGAGCTGCTCGACTAGCACGGGTGTGAACGACCCTTAAGAAAAGAAATCGGCGAGCGACCCGTCTGTCGTCCCTCTGCGGCCGCGGACGGGTCGCCCTATCACAATCTTCGTCGGCGTCGTGGTGGCGCTCGCCGTTGCTGACTGCAGCAATGCAGCAGCAGCAACGTGGGCGATGACGGAAGTGGCGGATTCGACGGGGATATGTCTCCCGCCGGCAACGGCGAGTGACGACACGACGCAGCAACGTCAAAGTAAACCACCGTCACCGGTCGGCGAGTACCGCGCGCACTCCATCTCCACTTTCGTCTCGATTCGACTCGACGGTACAGCCGGATATTCTTCTTCTTCCTCCTCTTCCTCTCCTCCTTCTTCCTCTTCCACTTCTTCTACTGCTGCTGCTGCTGCTTCCTCTTCTTCCCTTTTTCTTCGCTGTATTTTTTTATCTTTTTTCTTCGTTTTCTTGCTTAATTTTTTAGCCAGCCTCGACGCGAGGCCACTACACTTCACCTTCACCGATACCCGCACCACACGATAGCACCTCAACACATTGCAATGTCATGGCCTATGGAACCTGCAACCGAGCAGACACACAGAAAAAGATGAGTGTTAGGTCTCATAGAACGAAATCCGACGATGTATTAGATTGGTGCAAAGGATTTGTCATTTTCCTATCAATTTTTCTATCATTCATCATTTTTCTATCGTAGGAAGTATGAATGTTAAAAAGACCATGTAAAAAGCCCTCGTCTAAGAAAATGTGCGATGTTGTTTATTATATAAAACGAAAAAATCGTCTTAAAAAAATCTCAGAAATCTAACAAATATGAAATCATTTTGAATCAATATTCCTATGTACCTGCAATCCTGTCCTATAATATTCTAACGACATTAGAAGTCGACGTAAAAAAACAAGTTAATAAAATAACTAAGCATTGTAGGAGGATATAAAAACATGATAATTGATCCAGTCAGGTTTTCGTGGCGACTTCTAATATTGTGCTGGAATAAAATATTAGGATAAGATTGTTGGTACACAGGAATATATTGATTAAAAATTCTTCATACTTTTTAGGACTTTTTATGTTTCTGAGGACAGTTCATTTTTTTATTTCTTTTATTATTTAATAAAATGTCTGTTTTTGAAATTGTTTAAAAATTTGTCTTGCATTCCTAGGTGTCGGATTTTCATGACAGTAATGGGATTATCCTATATATCCCATAAACTCAAGTAATGACTCTAAGAACAATATCGATAACAGACTGAACAAGCTAGAAAAAATTCATTTCGATATCTCTAAAGCTTCTCGAGTCATAAGAAAACGTGCAAGTAAATAAATCTCCTTATTCGAAACCGTTTAAAAATGATTGATTCCACGAAATTGGATATTGGATGGAATTTCGTTTCCTATTTTATATATTTATTTCATTTTTTCCACCTTTTAAATTTATTTGCTTTCGTTCCTCATTTTATTTATCATTTTTATGTTATTGTTATCACATTTGACGCGATGAACTTTTGCACCAGTCTAATGGTCCGCAGAAACCGTCGTTGTGTGTAAATTCGTGAAAGAAACGCGATGGTACCTGGTGAGGTGTCTGCTGTCTTCGTGAACGGCCATCTCCGAACTCTTGAACTCGTTCAGCTCCTTCCTAATGGCAGCCTTGTCCTTCGGAGTTAACCGCGTCCAGGGCTTGTCGGCTCGTCTGTCGTAATCGTGAGCCTGCGTTACCTCGATATAGTCGTTGAACCTGATAATCTGTGGGAGAGCAAAGCGGAATCTACATGTTGACTTTCGCTTTTTATAGCTCCGTCCGTGAGTCGTTAAGCCTTTAATCGGAGGGGTGGGAAAAAATAGCGTCACGGCAAAGATGAGATACGGGAAAATATCGGACGAACTTAGACACAAGGCGGTACATCGTAACCTTCTCGATACAGTCAACGCTATCTCGAAACGCTAAAGATACGCGGCGCGACGCGGAAAACCCGGCGGGGAGATTCACGAAGGGACTTCTTTCCCTCTTCTCTTTTCCCTTCCTTTCTCACGCTTAATCACCTTCTTCTCCTTGAGCTCTTCGACAGTCGGTCGGAAACTGAGCTTCCGCAGGAGGTAGCGTTTCTTTTCCTCTTTCTGCTTCTTCTCCTCGGCGGGACTTTGCTCTGAAAAGGAATGTCATGCCGTCTCTCTTAATTTGATTCCAGCCGATTTGGCAAAGCGCGCGAATTTAATTACGAGTTTTCTCGGAAAGTGTATCGTCGCCAATTTTTTATTGTGAAAAATGCACTGTCAATTTGCAAATCTACGCATTTTTATGTCAGTCCCCTTTAAAAGTTCAGTGTGCACATTTATGTACATTTGGATCCTCCCCAAATGTTTTATATCGGCAAAGTAATGTTGCCGTCGATATAATACTATCGATCCAACCTAGATAGAGCTATATTCCTCGTCCTAATTTGCGAAACAGTGATTTTCCCACCGAAGGAACCAATACGGCGACCGTGCATAGAGCAAAATTGTTGACGCTTGAAATTGTGTAAAGTTTTTCATGAAAAAAAGTAAGCAAATTTTTTCCCAATGTTTTATCTGTCATCTTAAACTATAAGGTTGTTTTATTATGTTCATTAACATGGGTGTAAGGTTTATTAAATTCTGTAGCTAGATTACAAGTGCAAACATGAATGCACATAACCCAAGTTACTGGCAAAGCAAACGTCGCCTAAATTGGACAGAAACTAGCCAGTAATTAGAATTCCTAGCCAATTACTGGCTAGGACGAGGTCGCTCTTTCTACTTGAAAATATAGAACATCGTACTTCGCAATAGTTAATTCTATTTGAACCACGAAATTTCTTCGTTAGAAGCATCATTCAAAACTATTTTTAAAAAAATAACATTGTACTCGAGTGGGATCGATGTTTAGGCTTTAAAGGGTGAATATTTTTGTCAATTTTTGTACAATCGCCAATACCACGTTGTAAATGCTAAAACAAATTACGAGCGGCCGTTCTAATTTTTTTTTTATTAATGCAATTCAATACGACATAACGCCGCCATTCATAGTCTGATCTTATATTTAAAATCGTCTTAAGTTCATTTGCCTAGCCAATGAAGCGATCCTTGCAGCATCTGCACATGAACTTGAGATGACCTTAATCCTATTAATTATAGGATCAGACTATGAATACCGGCCTGAGAATCGCGTCGTTCGTTTCGCGATCGAGGAGATCCCGTCAACTTACGGCAGCGAGAACTTACTTTTCAGAATGTTCCTCTCTTCGAGCTCCTCCTGGGTTGGTCGCATGCTCAACCGCCTGAAATCAGAATGGGGTACGTGATTCAGTGTAAGTTCGTCAGCCACTTTAATCTTCTTTTGTCGGTGGCGAGGAATATTTGAGGGAGACTGCGGGAGACAGAGAAAGAGAAAGAGAGCCACCACACGGTGTGCAAACAAGTGATTCACCGCGGCGAACACTCGTCCCATTATCCCGTGTAATCTTTGCGAGAGACAGCTGTTATTTCAAGCTCGATTTCAGGCGAGCTCGATCGCTCGTTCGTGACGGCCTGATATCGGCGGAAAGCGGAGAGGAATGGATTTTTCCGGAATTAGAATTCAGGTACGTGTTCCATTATTATTGAGAGATATTCTAACGACGGATTTTTTTTTCACAAATCCGTGGCGAATGTATATATAACGCTCTGTGACGGCCGCACTTACATCGCGGGAAAACGTTCATCCGCCGTTGGCGGATTTCGACTCGCTGCAATCGTACCTGAAGCGAGTTTAACACCCTTTTTGTATAACTCATTGTCCGTGTAAATTTGCTCTTATCCTTTTGATAGTATTATTTAAGTTGGCGCAAAAGATTTGTCTTGCTTGTCAAGTAAAATAGAAAATGAAGTTGTCAGATTTCCCATTAATTCGGGAGTTTCGAATTAGGATTAATATTTTTTACAAATAAAATAAATATCATCGACTTGATATTTCTTTGGACAACTAACAAGGGATTTACTACTTTTTTTTTAATATTCGAGCTCTTTTTACGAAAATACAAATTAATTTCAGTCAAGGTTAACAGAAAAATAAAAAATCTCTTGCACAAAACTAATATAATTATAGATTGTTATTACCGACAAATATTTCTTTATATACAGTAACTATTGGCATAACCAAGAAAATATAATCTTATCCTCAGTGGAATCCTCTTATACACTGGCCTCAGGAGGATTCCTCTAAAATCAAAAAGAAAATATTCTAAATAATTCAAATGGTTGGAAAGTTGCTCTCTATTTCCTGTAATTCCGTATTCTAAGTAAAATCTTTTATCGAAAGAACATTCCCCTCCTACTAAAGTATTATTAATCGGCCTATTAGATATTCTCTTAAAGACGAATATGTTTACTTGAAACAGAATGTTCTTTTACTAGAAAAAATTTCTATATTAAGAACAAAACTTATAAATAAAAGACGAGATTGCTCTCTTCTCTTCAACTTTAAGAATATTGTGTTTAGAATATTTTTCTTTTAATTTTAGGAAAGTCCTCTTGAATGATATAAAAGAATTCCGCTAAAGAGATAAGATTATATTTTGTTCGGTGAGATTATTAATTGGAAATCTGCTAGATACTTTTCTAACTTTTTTTCTTTTGAATCAAAGAGAAGTTTTGAGAGAAATATGTCCACTTGGAGCAGAATATTTTCTTACACGCGAAAGACGCGACAAGTAAAATTTATATTATAGATAAAAGACGAAATTTCTCTAACTTGAGCGATATTGTGCTTAGGAAATATTTTCCTTTTGATTTTAAGAGAATCCTCTTGAGATCAATACATAACAGAATTCTGCCAAGGATGAAATTATAATTTTTTAGGTGCAGAATGAGATCGCGCTTATGTGAAAGAGACCGTGAAAAGTGCTAAGAAATTTTGTTTTAACATCGGCTTCGGCGAGGATTTCATATTTCGACGTTCACCGCGCGAAGATACCTCGTAATAAATATTAATCGCACAAATACAGCGGACAATACGATCGTTAGGAAGGAAGTTTCGCGATTCTCCGATCGCGGGCATACTTTTGCGTCTTTGTTCATCGCGGCCGCCAATCGAACGAGAGCGGATGATTCGAGCCGAGGGATGCGGAGAATCCGTCATAGCGTGCCAATTCCGAAGCTTCTGAAATATATCCGTTAGACGAAAATAGAAACGAATGCGTATAATGCGAGATCCGTTCACCCGGCGGACGCGATTACAGAGGCACGCGCGTATCACAGACGAGCGAACAATTGCCCTCACCTGATGAGCTTGGCACCGATGGCCTCCTTCGTCTCCTGCCTCTCATTGTCCGTCTGCAGCTGAAGGATGTTCCTGTTGATGAGCTCCTGTCTGTCTGGCCTGAGGGCGAGCTTCAGCGACAGCGATTCCTTGCGCGCGATCTTGGCTGCCAAACGGTCTGTCGGGGCAGAAGATGTCAAACCGCTCGTTTAGTTCGCGAAACAGCCATTCTGATTAATGCACATCCGCGCGCACGGAAATAACGTCATTACGAGGGGTAAATGGCATGTCTCTCGACAGAAAATCAAATTAAAGAAATAATAAGAGACGCAAATTCGTCATTACGAGCGCGGAGAAAAAATACTGGCCGAATTAGCGTGACAGTGACACAGCTAAGTGTATTTTCAATCGGAATAAAATTGGTTTATAAAGATCAAATTCTGTTTTCTTCGACCAACGCGTGTTTAGTTCTGTTATTGTCAAGACTGGTTTGAATTAACGTAACGATGACACAACTAAATGCGTTTTGGCTTAAGGAAACAGAATTCCTCGTTCTTAGGAACCGAAGTTGACTTTCACAAGAACCAGAAAGTCTGGCTTCTTCTGGCAAAACGCACTTAGTTGCATCAATTTATTTAACCAATTTTGACAATGACACAACATACGTATTTTGGTTGAAGAAAATGAAATCTGTGGTTGTCAAAAAATGTAGGTTGAAGGAAAACAAAATTTCTGATCATTAAAAAATTTGGTATAAAAATTTTTTATGAAAATCAAGAATGTTCTATTTCCTTCAATCTAGCTGCGTTTAGTTGTGTCACTATCATGTTCATTCAACTTGACAGTGACATATCTCAATGCAGTTTGGTTCAAGAGAACAGAATCCCTGGTTCTCAAGAACCGAATGTAATTTTCATAAGAACCAGAAATTTAGTTTCCTTCGACCAAGACGTCTTTAGTTGTCTCATTAATTCGTCCGATCTTTTTTCCCCGTGCGGGATAAATCGCGTCTCCCTGCAGAAATCAAATCTCAAATCAGAACACAAACAAAGAACACAGATCGAGATGAGTCGAAGGTGAGATCTGAGATTCGGTAGGAATCTCGCGCTTAGAGAAGTCAAATCGCGTGCGTCCAGCAATCACTCACGCGATTACTAATTACCCTCCACGATCGGCGAGCAGCTGAAGCTGCGATAGAGCAGCGGGGCGTGTTCGACCGGCTCGATTGCGGCGCAGGCGATCGACAACGTCGACGCGGTCCATATCGACAGCATCGTGTCATCGCTCTGTGTCTTTCTCTCTCGTGGACACGAAATCGAGCTGGTAGGCGTTTCGCGGCAGGCTCAAGCAAGTCGGCACAGTTTGCGCATATACATCGCTCCGACGATATACATTAATTACCGTTGGCTGCCGCGCTGGTCATTTCGCGACGCGGAATTAACGCGCGCGCGCGCACGCTGCGGCAACAACCACTGTCTCTCGATTGAGAGACAGAGAGAGATCTCGAACGAGACTCGAGGGGGATATATCGCGGGAATTCTCAGAGGGAGGATTTTTCCTTTTCGTTTCGAGTGACTCAACGACGATTACCCACGATTACCAGCGCGCCGGATATCGCGATAAAAGATTCCCGCGAGTGGGAAGCAGCGCGACGAATCGAGACTAAGGAACGACCGGGAGTATACTGAGCGACATGCCAGCTATCTTCGGGGATTAATATAAACCTTCTGGTGTCCGCGCTCTCGCTTTCACACGCGCACACAAGCGACACGGACACACGTACACGCTGACGACCCAGCGCGAGAGTATAATTAGTTCGGTTGCTGAAGGCTGATTTAAAGTGTTGGGCAATCGCGCGCGGATGTTTCTCGCTGGGAAAACCAACGCGATGTACTCCCTCCGTCGAGACACTTCATCTGCGAGTGCAGATGAAGCTTAAGCTAAAGGATCATTTTCTTCACGCGCGTCGAGATCGCAGTGACGGGCTCTCTCTGTCCTCACGAATCACGTTTCGCGTTCGTCCCTACTTAAGGAATTTATTCACTTAAACCAAGATGCTCAAAATTATACAAAAATTAAGTGCAATTTGTCGCGCTACATTTGTAGTTAAAGCTTCATGCAATTCGCCTGCCAACCCGGTTTCGCGAAGCCGTCGAACAAATTCGAAAACAATTTAATATTGAATATCGCAATTTTGCATATATGACTTGAATGGTAGAAATGATATAGATGACCATCATTCCAGCGTTTCGTCAAAAGTGATACCAAACATTTATAAATATTATAAATGTTATAAATCATTATAAATGTTGCGTATTAGGAAACGCGGCATAGAAGAGAGAATGGTATTCGTCGCACTGTTTTTGTGTAATAGTTGATTAACGACCATATTAAATACAGGCGAGAAAATTGCTGATTTGTGCTTTGAGCGAAACGTGGCGAGGTAGTGTCATAAAAATGTAATTTTACTTGATTAATAATGGCTCCCGTGATGCGCCATTGAAAAAAACACATCTTGTGTGAATAAACTCTTTAAAAGAGATTTGGTAAAATTATATTTAAAGTAAAATTACGTTTAAAAAATTTAGTTAGAAAAATCTATGCAACTGAATTGTATTTTTGTCATAAAAAACGATAAAACTACGTAGAAAGGTATATATGTGTGTGTGTGTGTGTGTGTGTGTGCGCGCGCGCGCGCGCGTGCACTCATACATTTAATCGTTGAAAGTAAGTTACGACATAAAACGAAAGAAACTGATAACGTGATTATGCTCTCTTAAAATGAATCAGTAAAAATGTTTCTGATTGAATCAGTGGAAGGATTTTTCGCCAATAATTGAATGTTCAATTGATCTTCAGTGAAAACACTTCGTTGCTCCATTTTAGATCTCACTGATTTTTATCACAGGGAAAGTATGACTTCTCTGCAAAATATCTATATGTAAATATAATATGTAAAATATAATATGTAGTACATAAATATGCTGTACCAAATCCAACTTTTTGCGTCTGTGACGATGGAATGAACAGCTCCCACGCGATTTACGTGCCTGACATTGACGCGAATGACATTGCCTGTGTTTGCAAACTACATTAATGGTAGAGGCGGTCACTGCTATCAATTGATCCTTTCAGCGAGCTTTTACTGTAATTGCAATGCTATACTTACAACTGAACCAGCAGTTACGAGTATAACATTATATCAGTAAAAAAATATACTGATTGTATTTTAGGGAGGGTGAGTTGAAATATGAGAAATTGAAATTCCCGATAGGAATGATCAGTTCAGGTAAAGTCGTGTAGTACATCTCGACGAAGTTTGTACACATCTCCATCAATCCTTATTAAACTTTTTAAGCAGGGGTGTGCGCTCCTCGCGGTCCCGCTTCGGATTCTATTCCTCGCTTCCGAACTGAACGTGATTTGATAAGAAGAATAATGGAAAGAAAAAAAAAAGGAAAAAAAACGGAAGAATGAAAGAGACGTTTGGTAAGCGGGCAAGTTTTCATTATCCGGTCACGTTCGCCGTGATATCTCGAAATCCGTCCCGTCGGAGACGTTTTTCCGCGAATATTTTTTTGCCCTAAATGCGAAAACGCGCGAGTTCCCGAGTTCCTCGGCGAGCATTTTATATCGGTTATCTGGCGCTGGCACCTCGAAAGTTCCCGTCCCGCTGAATTTTCCTCGACCTTCGCAAATGTTTGAAGCCCGTCCGCCAAGCCCCCCCCCCCCCCCCCCCCCCCCC